CCCCCCCTTACTGGCTCTCTTCCTGCCCCCTTTGCTTTCTCATCACAGGTATCCCATCACTCTCTGTTTCCCCATTGTTCTTTCCTGCCACAGCCCCTTTCATGCATGGTAGGCTCTTTTCAGCTGACCCAAGCTCAGGTCATCCGGGAAGAAAGAACCTCAATTGAGAAAGTGCCTCCATCAGACTGGCATGTACACAAGTCTGGGGACATTTTCTTAATTAAGAATTGATGTGGGCCCAGTCCCCCGTGAGTAGTGCCGCCCCTGTGCAGGTAATCCTGCGCTATGGAAAAGCAAGCCGAGTAAGCCATAGAAACAAACCTGTGAGTGGCATTCCTCCATCATCTTGACTTCAGTTTCTGCCTCCAGGTTCCTGTCCTGGCTTCCATCAAGAAGGACTATGGTCTAGGTGTCTAAGCCAAATAACCCTTTCCTCTTCATCTTGATTTTGGTCAGTGTTTTATCGCAGCCACAAGAGGAAACTAGGACATATTGAGCTTTCACGCCTTACATGTATGTGTGTGCGTATGTATATATGCATGTGTGTGTACGTGCACATGCACTCATGTGTTTGTGAATTTAAATATAAACTTGGAGTATGTTAGGAAGTGTGACATTTATCTTTGTGAATCTGCCTTATTTTGTTTAACATAGTAATCTCCAGTTGATTCATTTTGCTGAAAGTGTCATAGTTCCATTCTTATGGCTCAGTAGAAATCGTTACACGTATGAAGCACGTTTTCTTTACCCACTCATCTGTTGCTGGACTCCTAGGCTGTTTCCCCGTCTCAGCTCATGTGAATAATGGCTCAGTCAACATGGTTGCCCAAGTGTCTCTGCTGTGCTGAATTAGCCTTTCAGGTATCCCTAAGATGGTTAGAGAGAGTCTTATCTTAGTTCCAGGTTTGGCTCTTTGGGAACCTCCGCACCGATCCCCGTAGTGGCTGCTCTGGTTTGCATATCCCTCCCCCAGCCCTGTGTAAGGGTTTGGGGAAAATTTTAATTAACCTGCACACATATAATGATGTATGTTAGTGGCCATTTTCTCAAACATCATTAGTTACCTGTGGTACTAAAATAACTAATAGAAAATTTAAGTTGAGATCATCTGTTTTAGTATCAGTGTGATTCTTTGTCCTTAACGATTTCCTCCATTTCCCGCAGGGATCCTCTGTGTGGCAGACCACTGTCTGGGCCTCCGAGAACTGGCAATGAATTACTACATTCTGAGCGACGAGCTTCTCCTTGCGCTGTCACGTGAGACTCACGTGAACCTCGAGCATCTCCGAATAGATGTTGTCGGTGAAAACCCTGGGCAGATCCAGTTCCACTCTATTAAGAGACACAGTTGGGACGCGCTGATGAAACACTCTCCGGGGGTCAGTGTTGTCATGTACTTCTTCTTGTATGAAGAGGAGCTGGAGACATTCTTCCAAGAAGAGACCCCCGTCACTCACGTTTACTTCGGGCGCTCAGTGAGCAGAGCCATCCTAGGCCGGATAGGTCTGCACTGCCCACGGCTGGTTGAGTTAGTGGTGTGTGCCAGTGGCCTTCAGCCCCTGGACAGTGAACTTATCGGCATTGCTGAACACTGTCGAAACCTGACAGCCTTGGGCCTGAGCGAGTGTGAGGTCAGCTGCAGCGCATTCGTCGAGTTTGTACGACTGTGTGGCCAAAGGCTCACCCAGCTGTCAATCATGGAAGAGGTTCTGGTCCCTGATGACAAGTCCACCCCAGACGAAGTTCACGCTGAAGTCTCTAAGCACCTGGGAAGAGTGTGGTTCCCAGATGTGATGCCTATCTGGTAACCAGCTGCCAAAGGTTCCGAATTTTCTGTTAGTAGGATTAGCTGTTGTCTGTCCGTGTAAATGTAATTTTTGAGATGAACCACTGAACTGTGTTAGGTTAAATATTTGCTGTTTGCCAACTCTCTTTATTGGTTGCTGCAGAATCATTTGAAAACAATATATCAACTTTAAATAGCCAGAAGTCTTTGTCAGTAGGACACAGGCACTGTGTGTTAATTAGAGGGTTGGTAGGGTAGACTACAGGTGTCCAAGGCTGAGAGAGACTTCGGTTTTTCAGTCTTTGGAGGCATATTTTAGCTTACTAAGAAACTTATATTAAATTTATAATTAATATTTAATTACAATTTATAGTATTAGATCTCTTTAAGTTATGTATTTTTATGTTACAACCTCATGTTATTTTAATTTCATCTGTTTCATTTGGTATCAATATGTTTTACAAATGCATACTGTTAAAAAATCAAGGTACCATTATAGAGGTGTTTGTCATTGTACTTAAAATTTTTTAGCATTTTGTGATTTATTAGTAAACAACTTTGATTTCTAGAGTATCTTAAATTCATTTTTAGATTAACTTGGAAGGTAATTAGCATTATGTTAAAATCCAGTAATACTAATTCATTTCATAAAGTACAACAAATAGAAGATACTGTGATTATTAATTGAATACACGGTGTGGGTTCAGAGGTAAATTTTGCAGGATGTGTTTGGAAATCAGTGTTTACTGGCCTGCTGCTGTTACTCTGGGACTGCGCCGTGTCCTTTGCACATGTGGCCTGTCATCTGATTAGTAACACTGGTGACGTCCTTCTCCAGCTTGTCCTTAGGATGAAGGTGTCATCTGAGCAGTTGCCTGGGTGCTCGGTGCCATTTCCTGCCACTGTGCCCGCCCTTTGCCCGCTTTTCCCCTTCTCTGTCCCTCCAGCTGTTCTGTGTCTGCTACCAGAGGCATCTCTCCATCTCTCTACCTGCCCCCCTGTGCTCCCCCAGGTCTCTCTTTCCCCTGTGGCACCTTCCCAGCTCCTGGGTCAGACCCTTCACTCACACCCTGAGTACTCTGCTCTCCTTTGTAATGCCCGCTGCTGTGCTGTGTATGGTCTGCTTATCTCATCATGACCTGTGTACTTCATTGTACCGTAAACTCCCTGGTGCAAGATCATTGCTATGTGTGTGAGTGTGTGTGTGTGTGTGTGTGTGTGTGTGTGTGTGTGTTTACAGTTATTATTAGAAGTCAGCTTTCAAAGAGAAACATGCTTATTATTTTTCAGTTTTGAGTCCATTTCATTATCAAAATGTGAGTATCCTCACCTATTAAGCAATTAGGATGCACTATAGTTTGTAAATAGTTTGGAAAGTAGACTGCCCTTCCTCATTCATTGTCCTGATGACAGGTGACAGCTGTGCACAGCATTATCTTGCTGAGGCAACAGCAAGTGAGGTCATAGATTTATCTACTCAGTATTTCCATTACCCTGACCCTAGATCCATCATAGTGAAACCATTTCTCTTATGCCTGTGGTGTCGTTACCCTGATTAGATTTCAAGTTTTCAATTACGGCACACCTTTCTGGGTCTTAGGTATAGATGATATGATCTGCAATACTAAGAACTCTGACCTCGAGAAAGGTTTTAGTATTGTTACCCAAGACAACACACAGTTCTAAGAGTGAGGAACACATAGGCGACTGTAAGGATTGTTGGAGGATTTGGGGAACTTTCAGGTAATTTTGTGGGCAAAAGCAAATGGAGAGAAAGGAGAGAAGAATCCTTCTGTATGTCAAACCAAACAAACAAACAAAAACCTGGATTGTCACTTTTTTTTCCTTTTCCTTGCTGTGATCCTTGCAGGCCTCATTTGCTTTGTGCACAGTATCGGGGGATGAATCAGGAGGGTTGACAGACATTATAAAGTGCATCTGCATTGCCATAATTCCCCCTAAGTATGACAAATGTCCTCTTAAAAGATATGAGTTTACCCTTCTGTGGCCCTAACCTCTTAAATTGGCTGGTGACCTTGCTGTTCCCTTAAATTAATTTTCTACAACTAAAAGCATTTTCAAAATAAAAATCCTTTTATTCATATTAACTTACACTTATCAAACCTGGCAATGTCTGGCACCACATTTTTGAGGTGTCTATTTTAATAGCTTTTATGAAGAAAAAGCAAAGTTACTTAGCATTCTTTGTCTTGTCATTTGAACTTTAAATCAGAACCCATGAGCAGCTCTGATATAATGCACTAGAGGGCGCTGTATTCTAGTTCTTCCTAGGAAGATGTTCTTCCTCTGGAGTTGGTATTTCTATAAAATGCCTGGCAGGCAGAAGGTAGTGTGCCATGCTGCTCTGGACATTCTCCCGCCCTATTCCAGCCAATCAGCTTGGTTTTGAGAGTGCTAGTCATATTTCACTGTGTTTCACCTTCTAAGCACCAGTCCAGACAGAATGTTGATTATTTGGAAGACTGAGCAAAAACTTCATTGTTCAGATAGTTTGGAGCGTTTTCAACTGCCTTCCTAGCCTGCAGCACTTCCTCTATGTCTTCAGCAGGAACCTGATGCTTATCTATTGAAAGCAAATGCAAGCCCTTAAAACAGTACAAAGTTATTCGACACCAATGAGCATTATAGAAGGTCATCAAATTGGACAGTGATACATATCATGTATTTTTTTGAGACTGGGTTTTTCTGTGTAGCTTTGGAGCCTGTCCTGGAACTTGCTCTGTAGACCAAGCTGGCTCAAACTCACAGAGATCCTCCTGTTTCTGCCTCCTAAGTGCTGGAATTTAAGTCATGCACCACCACATTCTGGCAAAACTTAAATCTCTGTTCTTTTTATTGTTGTTTGTAGGAGGAGGAACTGCTAGTTTGGTTCCCAGCCACCTGGCTACCTTATTGTAACATGAAGGCCGCTCATTTGTTTTTAGCCCCTTAGCCCCAAAATAACCACACAGAAACTGTATTAATTAAAATACTGCTTGGTCCATTATCTCTAGCTTCTTATTTGCTAACTCTACATCTTAATTTAACCATCTCCATTGATCTGTGTATTGCCATGTGGCAGTGGCTTACCGGGTAAAATTCCCAGCGTCTGTCTCCAACAGCTCCCTGGCATCTCTCTCTCCACCTTCCTTCTCCCAGCATTCAGTCCAGTTGTCCCCACCTACCTAAGTTCTGCCCTATCACAGGCCAAGGCAGTTTCTTTTCATTAACTAATAAAAGCAACACATAGACAGAAGGACCTCCCATACCAGTTGTTTTTTTATTTTCTACTTATGTATAGTGGTCTGTTTGCATGGATGCCTGCAGACCAGAAAAGGGTACCAGATCACATTACAGATGGTTGTGAGCCCCCATGTGGTTGCTGAGAATTGAAAGGGACCGACCTCTGGAAGAGCAGCCAGTGCTCTTAACCTCTGAGCCATCTCTTCAGTCCCTAAAACCTAAATTATAACGTTCTGGTCTTGTGGATATTGTGACGTGGTGGATGCTGACAGGAACCTGCATATTAAAAATTGCCGACTACAGCATGGGTCCTTAAATGACTGGGAAACTAACTCTTCCATCCACCTACATACACGTATGTCCAGTTGCCTCTATGACACACTATTAGTTCACACGAAATACTCATGTATCACATGTCTGCACAACAGTGCCACTCGGTGACTGAAATGTGTGTGGCTCATTCTCCCTAGCCCTGTGGTAATTGGGTTTTTATTTATTTTCTTCCTCCCTACCTCCTTCTTTCCCTCCTTTCTTTCTTAATTTTATCACCTATATGTGTTCTTGGAAGTTGTGTTATTTGATTTGTTTTGACATTATAAAAAGAGCGTCGCACTTTTTGTAAAATTTTCACTTTCCTTGAGTTACTGATTGCTGCTATCATTTGTATATCTTGTCATATTCGACTGCGCGTCATTGATGACTTCTGCGTGATATTTGGCTCTGTAATTATGACCTGACCTTTAAAATCTGTTGCTGTTAATGGACATTTGAGTTGTCCCTGGCTTTACTATGACAAGTAGTGTTGTCGTGGGCATCATTATGCATTGAAATACAAATGGAGTCATTTCTCCAGTGATAAAGGCCAATTCATTGTCTTTTCCTTTGACAAACCTGTAAGTAAAGATGGAGCCATCCTACATTTCAAAAGGACGGAAGCGAAATTTCGTGAGTGAAATTTCCAGAGGATTGCTCCAGTTTAGTCCTTCCGTACTGACCTATTTAGAGCCGGAACCTTTCTGTCTTTGCTCATCTGCTTGGTTTTGTTTTCCCCTTGTACTTGCTCTTAGCAGCTCTAAGAAGGCATGATGTAGAATAGGTTGGGTACTATATGTATAATAAGAAGGCATGATGTAGAATAGGTTGGGTATTATATGTATAATAAGAAGGCATGATGTAGAATAGGTTGGGTATTATATGTATAATAAGAAGGCATGATGTAGAATAGGTTGGGTATTATATGTATAATGGTGTGTGGCATTGCTGGATGAGGCCGCCTGACCTCGATCCTCAGACAGCTCAGTTAAGAGTGGTTCTCTTTCTCATCCTCACACGCCCTGTGTGTACGCAACTTCACTGAGATCTAGAATGTGCCGTCTTCTAGAGGAGACCACCATCACTTCCCGGGAAGCCTGTTCCTTTCGTGGAGCATGAAAGGGTGCCGGTAGTAAGACCAGTGACCTTCACCCTGGGAACAGCTGTCGTTCCTGCTAGTCTGACAAAGGTGAGGGCGTGGCTGAGAGCTCACCGCCTTAGCAGGAGAGAAGCCTCTGTTTTGTCAGGGCGTGTGCCAAGCCCGCGTGAGAGCACCTCTTCCTCCTTGGGTCATGGAAAGACCTTCAAGCTCTTTGTCACTCTCAGGCAGAGAAGCAGCTAGTTCAGAGGTCTCAGAAATACAGTCTGGACATGGATTCATTTGTTTATTTCTGTCATCAGGACTTAAAACTCTAAAATACAAAAGCACCCTGGTCCTCTGGGTGGCAGGAAGGTCAGGGTGACGATGGGTTGGAATCAGAAGTGTGGGTTTTGCATTGATTGTGTTTCTGTTGGAACACACGTTTCTTCAGGGCAGACGTGTTCACGTTCCACTCTGGATGGGATTTGGTGTTGTCTGCGCTCACAGGTATGCCGTGGGGTCGCTGGAGTCACAGTTTTCAATGTGCACGTGCGACTGGATGCCGGGGTAAACTTTCTGCAAGGGCAGCAGGGTGCCCAGCTTCTCTCCCTTTTTGATAGAACCTTTATACTTAATTGGTTTGATGTAGAAAATTTTGACACAGAAACCTGAAAGAAGATGGAGATGTTATTTGGACTTCTGTAGCCTTGAATCAGAAATTTAAAACACAGGGCTGGGGAGATAAGTTAGTTGGCAAAGAGCTTGCCTTGCAGGTGGGTACCTGGGCTTTATCCCTATAATCCATGGAAAAGCTGAGAGTTGAGGCATGTTCTTGTGATCTCTGCCCTGGGGAGGTGGAAACGGATGTGTTCCTGATGATGTGATCCCAGCCAGCCTAACCATCCAGCCAAGCATCGGGCCAATGAGATACCTTTTTGCAAAATACAAAGCACCTGAAGAATGACAACTGAAGACGACCTCTGGCCTACACACACACACACACACACACACAGACCCACACACAGAGAGATGCATGCACGCACATGCAAAACATGTATACACACACTTTAACATATAAAAACAGTCGTGGAACTTTTTGTGGCACCTCGCTGGCAGCCTGCCATGTCTTTATCAGTCTGAGAGTTTCTTTCCCAGCCGCAGCTGTCAGAAACTCATTGCAGTGAACGATGAATGAGACCTTTGCGCTCTCTCTGAGAAGCTCACGGGCACAGAAGTAGCCACTGATGCTCCTGGGGAGGAGTGAACGGGTTCTATGGTCCGAATCTGTGGCAGGAAAGGCAGACAGGTGTCTTGTCCCACAGCAGAGTGCACCTGGCCCTCTTGTCAGAGATCAAACAGAACTGGAGGAAGGTGCCAGGCTGTTCAGGGATGCACTGTGGATGCCATTCTAGATGCTTTCAACTTCCTTTATTGAAGAAGAGGAAAGAAAGATAATCCTGGACTAACAGATACTGCTGTGCCTCAGTGTTAGAGCCGAAAAATCTAGCAGAATCTGGAAACTTTTCAGTTCTCTAAAGATGGTTCACCAATATGCTGTCAGAGAGCCCTTAAAGAAGGTAAGAAACCCAGGACCAAAGCTCCAAAGATGCAGGGTCTTGTTACCCAGCGTGTCCTGCGACACAAATGCCAATGTATTACTTTGAAGAAGCAGCACGGTAAAACAAGGAGGAGGCTGCAGAAAGTGCTGAACTTATGCCTAAGAAAATGAAGGAAGCCAAGGAAGAAACGCCGGGAACAGACTGCCAAGAGACGAAGGCTGTCCTTGCTGTGAGTGTCTGCTTCAAAGTCCAGTCAAACCTAGTCTTTAATAGTGACACAGAATGATCGGGGGGGGGGGGGGCCACGGGGGTTGGGAGCGGAAGTTGACAAAAACCAGAGGAAGTGGAACTGAATAAACAGGAAGACAGAATCCTAGTTTAATACAAGATGGCGGAGAGTAGATTCAAATAAAAATCTAATAAAATATTGGAGAACAGAAGAGTAGCAGAAAAACTTAGATAGTAGAAAATTGATCCAGAGTAATGTTATGTCCAAGACAACATATATATATATATATATATTCTAACAAAACTACTAGTCCTAAAAAAAGAAAAGTAGAAACAAAAAAGGATACTTTTCTAAATATATGTGTATATATGTATATATAAGTGTATATATATTCTAAATATGTGTGTGCATATGTATATATAAGTGTATATATTCTAATTATCTGTGTATGTATATATAAGTGTATATATGTTCTAAACATATATGTATATACGAGTGCATGCATATTCTAAATATATGTGTGCATATGTATATATAAGTGTATATATGTTCTGAACATATGTGTGTATATATGTATATATAAGTGTATATATATTCTAAATATATGTGTGCATGTGTATATATAAGTGTGTATATTGTAAATATATGTGTATGTATGTATATATAAGTGTATATATATTCTAGACATATGTGCACATATGTATATATAAGTGTGTATATATTCTAAATATATGTGTGCATGTGTTTATATAAGTGTATATATTCTAAATATATGTGTGTATGTGTGTATATATAAGTGTATATATATTCTAAATATATATGTGTATATGTGTATCTATAAGTGTATATATTCTAAATATATGTGTATGTATATATATGTGTATATATTATAAATATATGTATTTAGAAAAATATACATGTAGATATATATTCTACAGATAATTCCAAGTAAAAGCATAGTATAATGTAATAATTATAATATGGCAAGATGGTGTTGGGATCAGATATGAGTGGTCTGTAAATGAGAATTTGCTTGTCTTATTTCAACTTTTTTCCAAGGGCACAAATGAACCCCAGTTCTGTGCTGTGTAGAATAACACACAGTGACTTAAATGGCCAAAAATAAGACTCGAGCAAAGAATTGCCGAGGAAATGGAGACAGCAGAAAGTAAGGTTCCTGTTACCAGTGTACAGAATGCAGCCCAAACACAGGGAAACAGACACAGAGCCATGTTTAGCGCTAACTGCCAGTTCTGAGGAAGATGGAGCCCTTACACTATCCATGCTCTAAATAACACAGATGCTGGTAAAGAGACGGTTGGGTGGGAGCCATGGCATTGTACTGTCCAGTTTAGTAACTGCAGCCCAACAAGGCAAGCACTTAGTATGTAGCTAATGTGAACTTAGATTTGCTTCACAATCAATACACAATAAATTTTAAGCAATCAGCATAAAATGAAAAAAAACTTCAAGTAATCAAAGAGTACAAAGTGATCATTGAAGGACTGTTGACTTAAAGACACCATTACACACATACACCCCCCCCAAAGCCCCAGTACAAACTGGCATCTGGTTATACAGTTTATTATTTGAAAAAGAATGGTATAATAAGACCACAAGAAACTCAGTCCCTACCTTGTCTCTTACCCAAGCCCACTGGAGACTGCCTAGATCAAAATATGAGGGCAACATAGTAAGTTTGTCTTCAGTGTTGGCAGATGTGTCTACACAGGTCAAAATAAGTTAAATAAATTACTAGGTTTGACCACATGAAAACAATTTCCATATGTTGAAAGACATTGGTAAGGAAGTGGTACCCTGCAGCGTGGAGAAGTGTGAACACCTGGCAGAGGTGCACACCTGGCAGAGGGCACCCATCAGGAAGTATAAAGAGCTCCTATGTATCAGTAAGTGGATATTCCAGTAGGAATTTGGCAAAGTGTTTAGATAAACACATCACAAAAGATTGTTACCCATGCTATCAAAATATATGGAAAGATGCCAATGTCTTTGCCATGGGGGAAAAGCAAATTAAAACCACGGTGATATGCTCCACACACAGGCCCAGCAGCAGGGAAGCCTGAAGCGTGCATGGAGCAACTGGAGCTCCCGAGCTCTTGGCAGGATGCAAACCACAGCAGCCACTTGGGAGAATGGCATGGCAGCATCTCCTGCAGCTGAAAATACACCCTAGGTGTGACACAGCGCACTGCCAAGTGCTGAGTGTGCTGGTCACATTGCAGTCTGGAACCAGGGTAGCCAGCGCTGGTTGGAGGCGCTGGGACCACTTGAAGATGAACTCCAGGACACAGGTGTGTTGATCAGCTGACCCAGTGACCCCCTAGTCTGGATGGAAGAGGGTTTGTTTTTGCTCACTGGTAGTTTGAAAGAGAATGGCCTCTATAGGCTCATATATTTGAATACTTCGTCCTCAGTTGGAACTGTCTGAGAAGGGTTAGGAGGTATGGCCTTGTAGGAGGTGTGTCACTGGGGGTGGACTTTTTGAAGTTTCAAAGGCCCACTCTATTCCCAATTAGCATCTCTTCCCTTCCCTCCCTTCTTCCCTCCCTCCTTGTGTGTGTGTGTGTGTGTGTGTGTGTGTGTGTGTGTGTGTCACTAGCCTGTAGCTCACTCACTATGCTCAGCTAGTTGGTCAGCAAGTCCCAGGGAGCCTCTGACTCGACCTCCCCAGTGCTGGGTTTCAAAGGATACTCCACTATGTTGGATTTTGTCGTAGGTTCTGGAGATGGCTCTCAGGCCATCATGCTTGTGAGGCAAGCGTTTTACGGAACAGGCTCTCTCCCCAGCCCTGATCGTGTGCCTTTTAATGAGCACATGAGTTTGTTTCTGTGGTGGTGTGATGGATGATCCCTGCTGTGTGACTGGGTTCAGGGTCATTAGAAGACACTCAGTTGAAGGATTTCCACAGTGGGTCCACCAAGGAGGAAAGCCCCATGCTAACCCGAGTGGTACCATGGGCTAGGACCCCAGCTGAAGAAGGGCTGGAAGAGGGGTGGGGAAGTCTGATGAGGACCAGCATTCATCTCAGCCTTCTGACTGCAGATCCAGGGCGAACAGCCCCCCTGTGCTCCCACTGCCTTTTCTGTTTGCCCTGATAGCGGTATTTTTGGTCACGGTGATGGGGAAGTAATAAGGAGAAGAAGTTCCAGAGGACAACTCATCACCGAGGTTTTGGGGGACCCAAGTCTTTCATGGCTGCTTTCTGTAGCTTAAGTGGCAGCAGAAGCTGGTGTCTTTAAACTGTGTCTCTGAAGCGATACTTCACAGCCAAAGCCAAGGTCACTAGGGCCACCTGATAGGTAATCAAGTTGAGGCAGTAAGCAGATTCATCCAAACCTTTCTAGGTCCTGCAACCCTAGAAAGGAATAGATGGGTAGCCTACTGAAGCCTTACTGGGCATCCTCACCTCCACATAGGTGCCCATGCACAGGCACAAAAATAAGTACATAAATAAATGTAGACAATTGAAGGAAGAGAAAACCAAGGTGGTATGTCATCTGAGGAAAACATCCCATGTTGCCCTTTGACCTCCATGTGCACTCACGTGCTCACACATATGCCCTTGCACATAGGAACTTGCACACCCATACACACTTTTTAAAAAGAGTACTGGCAGGGCTGGGCGTATAGCTCGGTGATAGAGCTAGCATGTGTTCTACCTCCATCCTCAGCACCACAAACAGGCACCGGAAAATCCCTAACAGCGTT